GGGGAAGATGACGGTGACCGTCCGTGGACCTGACTCTGGAGAGGTGCTCGCAGACATCTACGTCGCGGTGGGACAGCTGCCACTCATGGGCAGGGACCTGCAGCAGCAGCTGGCACTGACCGTGCGTCACGGCAACGTGGTCTGTCAGGTGAGCAGTCAGGTGCTGCCAGCGATCAGAGGGTACGTGCACAAGGTACGTCTTCGACCTGACGCCGTTCCCGTGCAGCTGCCGCTGAGGACAATGCCGTACGCTCTGAGAGATGAGGTAGGTGCCCATCTGGAGGACTTGGAGCGGCAGGGTATCATTGAGCGAGTGGATCGTGCTGCATCTCCATGGCTCTCACCGATCGTAGCCATCCGTAAAAGGGGAGGTAAAGGTCTACGGATTTGCCTCGACTTGTCTGAGGTGAACAGAGCTGTCATCTCAAATGGTCATCCAATTCCTGACATGCAGGAGATGCTGGAGAAGCTGCGTGGTGCGAAGTGCATGTCGACTCTAGACATGAAGTCGGCGTACCACCAGTTGGAGCTCCACGAGTCGTCCAGGGACCTGACGGCGTTCATCCACGACGGCCAGACCTGGAGGTATCGAAGATGCTGCTTTGGGTTGAAGAGCATGCCGCAATGCTTCCAGAAGCTGATGGAGTGTGTGCTGACCGGTGTGCCAGGGGTGCATGTGTACCTCGACGATGTGATCGTCACTGGGTGCAGCCGGCAAGAGCACGATGACCACCTCCAACAGGTTCTTCGGCGACTGGAGGACCACAACATCACGCTGAACCGTCAGAAGTGCAAGATCGGAGTGACGTCGGTGGACTTCCTGGGTTTCACCGTGACTGACGGCAGGATCTCCGTGTCGTCTGAGCGCGTCCAGGGCTTGCGTAGCCTGGCGGTGCCGAAGTCGAAGAAGGAGCTGCAGGCTGTGCTGGGTTCCCTGGGCTTCTACTGTAAGTTTGTTCCAGGTTACAGTACCCGCGTCGAGTCTCTCAGACGCCAGCTGAGGAAGGATGCTCCAGAGTTCGCCTGGACTCCAGAGATGGATGCGGCGTTCAACGACGTCCGGCAGGCGATCCTCGACTCTGACGCCCTGTCGATGTTCGACCCCAGCCTGCCGACCGTTGTCACGACGGACGCCAGTGATGTCGGCTTGGGAGCCGTCTTGAGCCAGGTACATCCTGAGGGCGAGAGAGTCGTCGCCTTCGCTTCGTCCACGCTCAACGCTGCACAACGGAGGTACAGTGTCACAGAGCGTGAGGGGTTAGCGTGCGTCTGGGCCTGTGAAAAATGGCACAAATATCTGTGGGGTCAAGAGTTTGTGCTACGTACCGATCATGCTGCCTTGAAATCGCTGTTGACTGTCAGGGGTGTTGGTCGTGCCGGCATGAGGATGTCTCGCTGGGCGGTGCGCCTGATGAACTACTCGTTTGCAGTGGAACACGTCAAGGGCCAGCTGAACCCGTCTGACGGCCTCTCCAGACTGCCGGGACCGGAGCAAGAGGTCGAGGATGACGAGTCCGAGCTGGTGGCCTGCCTCGCCGACGAGACGTCAGCCGTCAGCCGTGAGGAGCTAGCAGTAGCGGGACGGGAAGACGCTGAGGTAAGGGCCCTGATGGACCAGATCCCTCGGGAGTGGCCCCGTCGCTTCAGTGATGTTGATGACGTCCTCAGGCCGTATTTCCGCTGTAAGCAGGAGCTAGCTATCGACGGTGAGCTGGTTTTGCGTGGTGAACGGATCGTGGTTCCCACTGTGCTCAGACCTCGGTTGCTGACGCTGGCGCATGAATCCCACCAGGGCATCGTCCGGACCAAACAGCGGCTTCGAGCGCTGTTCTGGTGGCCCGGAATGGACGCAGCGGTGGAGACGACCATCAAGGAGTGCCCAGCCTGCATCGTGGCCGACAAGACGGCGAAGACGAGGTTCGCACCACTCAGTCCTGTTCCCCTGCCAGCTGCAGCCTGGGATAAGGTGGGACTTGACTTCATCGGCCCGATGACAGGACCACCAAATCAAAGGTATGCGATAGTCCTCGTAGACTATTACTCGAAATGGCCAGAGATGGCGTTTGTCCGTGAACCGTCAAGTGATGCTGTCATTGACTTTCTGCTGACTGTGACGTCACGGGAGGGATGGCCAAGGGAGGTTGTCACTGATAACGGTACTCACTTCACATCTGTGAAGTTTGGACAGTTTCTGAAGAAGCATGGTGTCAAGCATGTCAGAGTGTCACCGTATCACCCTGCAGGTAGTGGTGCTGTAGAGCGTTTGAATCGTGACATCAAATCTGCTCTCCAGATGGCGGACCAGCAGTCGGTGGACCGCCGACAGTACCTGCAGTCCTACCTCCGCACGTACCGAGCGACGCCGCACGGAACGACCGGCCGGAGCCCGTCCGAGCTGCTCCACGGCCGGCAGATGCGGACGGACCTGGACAGCGCAGTCGCACCGGAAGGTGGCAGCACCGGAGACGCCGCCTTGCGACAACGGGTCAGCCGAAAGCAGCGCCAGATGAAGCGACACTTCGACAACAGGAAGCGGGTCTGTGCACCGACCATCCAGGTGGGAGACTGGGTCCGGTATCGGGTGATGCCGCGGCCACGTAAAGGACGCCCGCGTTTCTCGTCACCGTGTCGTGTAACTGCTCGTCGTGGACCTGCTTCGTATGAGCTGGAGGGTGGAGTGCGTGTCCACGCGGAGCGCCTGTCTCGCTGCTCACCACCCGATCTTCCCAGGTCTGCACCGTCTCCTGAGTGCACTGGAGTACCGGAGGCCGAGGTGGACCTGCCCTGTCAGCCAGTCACAGACTCTGCTGCGTCGTCGACCGTCGGGCTGCGACGGCGAGCGCCAATCGCAGTCGACGCCGCTGCCAGCGCTGCCACTGGTGACGTGACGTCGGAGCAGTCGTCCGTCGCCGGAGCAGCCGCAGCGCCTAGCCTACCTCGCGACGCTGGCGATGGTGCTGTTCATCGTGCTGGAGGAGATCACCAGGCGGAAACCGGGACGACGACGACCGAGCGTGCGGGTGACGAGTCGGCGTCATCTTCGGAGCCGGCTTCGCCGTATCGAACGCGTAGTGGACGTGTCGTACGTGCGCCGGATCGCTTTGTTTAAGGGGGGAGAAAAGTGTGGTATCGTGATCCTGTGTTGGGAACTTTCCATCATGCCGTGCCTGTGTGCGCGCGGTGCGGCCGGTCGAGGCTGATGTGTTCTTTTGGCGCTTATTTGAACTCTTTCGTTACGTATTTCATTCTTGCTTTACGTTAATATACTACATACATGTTGCTATGACGGCAAGCAGATCACCAGATACGTATCGAAGAAACATGTCAAGCGGAAGCACTTTCTGCAGCTCAACTCTTCCCGTGCTTACTCCCATCTCCAAGAGACGCTGTGCCGGCTCTCCAAAATCGGCATTGAGTCTCCAGAACACTCTTCTGCTGGCAGGTGGATCGGACGTCTCTTCATCGGTTGCTGACAGCTCGTCGTTTGAGGATGGGCTGTCTTCGTTTTCGCCAGAGACGTTCATCGGTGCAGTTCCGGTCAAGTCATCTTCATCTTCCGAGAGCTCAATATCAGAGATGTCAAGGTTGTTCAGGATCTCACGCAGCTGTTCATCAGTTATTGCGGGAGGCCTCCGGCGGGCAGTTGCAGGACGTGTGGAACAGGAAGGACTCCCAGAACATCCTGGAATGGCAGGGATTGTAACCATGAGGGAAATTGGACGGATGGGCGGATGGACGGAGGCAGGGAGGGAGGGAGGGCGGGATGGAGGAGGGAGGGAGGGAGGGAGGGAGGGAGGGAGGGAGGGAGGGAGGGAGGGAGGGAGGGAGGGAGGGACGTAGGGATGGGGGTCGTAGGGATGGACGATGCACGGGCGGACGGACGAACGAACGAACGAGCGAACGGACGGACGGACGGACGGACGAACGAACGAACGAACGAACGAACGGAGAGAGAGAGAGAGAGAGAGAGAGAGAGAGAGAGAGAGAGAGAGAGAGAGAGAGAGAGAGAGAGAGAGAGAGAGAGAGAGAGAGAGAGAGAGAGAGAGAGAGAGAGAGAGAGAGAGAGAGAGAGAGAGAGAGAGAGAGAGAGAGAGAGAGAGAGAGAGAGAGAGAGAGAGAGAGAGAGAGAGAGAGAGAGAGAGAGAGATCAGAGAGAGAGAGATCAAATATAACCCCCTAAAGACAGCATTCAGACCCAACGTATAGACACCTTGACATTGTGATTGATGACAGTATAGGAAGCAAGCCAATTAATTTAAACACACAGATAAGACACCAAATAAACCGTAATGGTTCGTTTTAAGTAATGCTACATGAAATTATTCTCAGCAATTAGTAAAAACATTTGAAAACAGCGTTTAACTAACCTGTACTTCTTCCGCCGGTCGCCATAGTTCACAAAAAGGAAAATTGCGGATGTTTGCGAAGTACTAGTGCCAAAATTTCTCGCCAGGTGGCTAACAAATGGTAAAGAAACCCATACGCCCGGGATTAAGGTCAATGCTAAAAGTTTTCTTGTCGCTAAAAATTTGCAAAGTTGTGTATAGATATCTATACGGTGGGTCGCTGGAGGTTAAAACATTTCAAATAAGAACGTGTGAAAAGTGCAAGGTATATGCGGGAGTATGTTTTATGCGAATTTTATCGTATTGTTGCGCTTGATTTGGTTGAATTTTATGATGCAGTTTAGCGAGATGTCAGACTGTATTCAAGCGTTTGACTGTCGTGAGCATGTATTGCGCATCGCTTGTGTTTTATGCGCGCAGGTGTTAATTGATGGATTGAATGTTTGAGCAATACGCGAAATACATTATTCGATTTTTAACGACGGTTGCGTCAGACGAGGCAGCTTACCCAGGCCGTTACAGTGGCGCTCTTCACTGTTCAACGTTCCTTGAGGAGCAGCACAGTCCTCGATCCCTGGAGCGGAGAAACCTGACCCGGAGTGAGGAGCCCCACCACTACCTTCACGGTCCTCGGGAAGCACCGAACACGCCCGCTTTGAGTTTATTTTTTATTCCATTGAGTCGTTAGACGGAGATGATCTTTTACATAGTTATTTACACACATATTCCGCGCTCACACTTGGTTTGAAGTATATAGATACACTAAGGCCCCAGCTGACCGGTCACCGCCGTGCGCCCTGGGAGAGGCGCGTGACGACACCGGCGCCATCTCCCGCCCACACCACTAAACATTATTGTCGGAAACGGCCGCCGCCAGCGGGCCCGTCACCTCGCGCGGCCAACGGAGGCCGCGGAATGCGAGAGAAGCGCCCCGCCGGGCCCGGCGCGGCCCGAGCCGACACACACGCACACACACAGGATGCGCCCGCTCGCGGTATCACACTGAGGGAGCTCTCTCGGCCCCCACCAGTCGGCCCGGCCGTCCCGTTTACCATATATACCCGCTCTCGGATTCAGCATTGCACATGCCACGATGACAGGGAAAAAGTAACGCGCGTTCGCTCTACCCGTGCTCCCTCGCTCTCTCTCACTCTCTCTCTCGCTCTGTCAGGTTTGGTGGTGTCCCACCAGGAATGCCTCGACTGATCGCCCGCCCGGCCCGACCCCGCAGGTCGCCGGCCCGCGGGTGCCCGCCCACGTCGCCTACAGAAGCTCGGACAGGTCGCCCAGAAGCGCCGCTATCCGCCACACAGCGGTCACGGCGTCGACGGCGACCCTCACCACCAGCCATGCATAGTGGAATGATGAAACGATTTATATACATACACCGCACGGCAGTATCACAGACTGAAAATCAAAGTCGGCAAATGGGGGGCGCAGCGGTCGCGCCGACCCAGTCGCCGAAGGGGCAGAGACGGGTGGGTTACAGCTCCACCAAAATTGGACGCGGCGCGACGCAACAACCATGCAAAACAGACATCTATACCGCCGTCCAGAGAGGAAAAACAATGTCGACCTAGCATCCATCCCGAAAATCTACTCTCCATGATATTGGCGAGGCTGGCGCGGCCGTCAGGCGACGCCTCCCGTGGAATGCAAGTGCGCAGCGCGGGCGACGCCGCGCCAGCTAAAATGCGAGCGAATTATGCGTGTTTGACTCCACGCAGTCATGGCGAAAACAGCCACCGCTGCGTTCGGCGGCGTTCGGCTCGGCGGCGGCTCAGTTAGTGATGAGCAGCTGCTGGTCCTGGTGCGGACCGCCGCCCTCCGCCGGCGCACTCTCAGAGTCCACCTCCATCTGATCGAGCCCCGGCCAGCCGGGCACGCCCCAGAACTGGCGCAGGCCCGTGCCGCGCGTGATGCTGGGCCTCTGCGGCCGCGCGCCGGCCGGCACCACCTGGTAGAGCGGCGGCGGCGGCGGCTGGCCGTCCACCACCGGCGCGCCGCTCTCGTCGGTCACAGAGATGGCCGGCGCGGCGGCCGGCTCCGGCGCTAGCGTGCCCGTCGTGATCGACATCCGCTGGCCGGCGGCCGGCGGCGCCACCAACGGCATGCCCAGCAGCATCTCAGAGTCCTCCTGGATGCGGCCCAGGTTGGCGGCCGTCAGAGGACTGCCGGCGCGGTGCGGCAGCTGCGGCAGGTGGTGGAGACCGGTCTCTAGCGGCACCAGCTGCTCGCGGGAGGCGGCCGCGCTCGAGTTGGAGGTACCAGAGGTGATGCTGCCGCCGGCCGAGCACGGGGCGCTCACCAGACGGGTCGGCAGCGAGACGGGGGAGCCGGGACAGCTGTGACGCTGCAGGGTGGCCTGCCGGACGGACAGGGCGCGTCAGGGCACATACATACAGGGGGCGGAGCGGGGGCTCGCGACAGACGAATGGAAAACATACTCAGCTAGCATATACTCAGCTGACCGCTCACTTGCAATGCGGAATATGTGCATGTTTACATGTGGGCGGACTATCTAACATCACTTCGCGCCCGTAATGTAAATTAGCAACAAACAACATAATCAAATCAAGATGATAGCAAGTACGCTGCATCTGCAAATGGTGGAATATAGCCTCTGTTAAAGCAGTAGAAATTCATAAAATCGTGACTCATAAGTTCATGGCTATATTCATCATAAACAGGATTCCTCTTCTCAACCGTCACCTATCCTACCCTAACAAATTATACCATTTTTAACTACCTTCCTCAACGGGCTCCTTAAACCACACGGCTAATCCCAGTTCCCACCTACCTACAAGTCTATCCTCCCGCATTCCTCCCCTCTCCGCTTTCCCTCCACCTCAACTCACACTGACTGGTCCAAGTCCGAACGGCTGCAGGGACACATCAGTCTGTAGTCGCAGCGTTTCCATGTTACGTAGTAGCGCCTGGTCGCTGTGGCTACCCGTGTGAGCGAGTCCGCCTGACGGGGGAGCCGCGAGTCAGGAGACGCGGAGTCGGGACAACGGGGGCGCGCGTTGAGAGACACAGAGATGGAACAGAGACGCGAGTCAGGAGACATCCCAATGGGACAATGGAGATAAGACTCGATACACGTCAACGGAACGACTGAGACAACTGACACAGGAGAGACACGGTAAGAGACACGCGTCAGGAGACATGGATACGGGACGAGAGAGTCACGCGTCAGGAAACATGTCGAGACAGAGGATAAACGTCCACGGATCAAATGGGTTAATGGAGACAGGTGAGACACACGTCAGGAGACATGAATACTGGATAATAAAGACAACTGAGAGACACATGTCAGACGTATGTTAAACAATAGCGCAGAGACATAAAGACATCATGTACACAGAAACATACAGGGTGTCCCAGAATTACCCGGACATTTATTTTCTGGCTAAAAGTGCGATTGCGCTCGATTCTAATGATATACAAGCATCATACTTTTATAAGATATCCCTTAGCTATCGAGCTTGGGGACTGTGTGCTTTTGGTGACCGGTAACGACTCGAGTCAATTATTATCCAGAGTCAAGTAAGAGTAGTCCTTTTTCGTTTTCAGCTTAAGCCACTAATAGGCAACCATGGTGAAACAACTCCCGTTTTCAACTTTGTAAACGGACTTTCGGCATGGTTTTTGCTGGAGAGCTTCTGCAGCTCATCTGCAAGCAGTTAGGATTGAGCAAAGCGCAATTATATCAGCTAACGAAGCCAGAGAGAGCAAGAGATAAACCTGATTGACAAGCTTGGGCTCGGCCAAAAAGGGCCATGCACCAGTTGTCAAACGGGTGGTTGCTTGTCATGGACAACAAACTAGAGCACTTCACGGATAGGCTTTTTAGGATCCGGCCCGGCCCATATCCGGCAAGTCATATCCAGATCCGCCCATTATCCGCCTTTCTTTGAATATCAGAATCCGGCCCACCCATGGCCCGTATTGCAGCCAAACTTCCAAAAAATATCCGTAATAATCCGTTTCACTAATAACTGGTTTCACCCAAAACTGGACTAACAAATTCAATCTAAGGGACCAGACAGCCATACATCTCACATAGTTTGTGAGTTGATATATAGTTTGTGGCAAAATGGTGTGGTTTTCATTCAACTTTGAGCCTAGGGACATGAAAGGCAAATAACAGGTGTTGGCTTGCAGGTGCACAATATTGTCTTTCAAACTTTGAGTTGAGCTGTCATTTGTTAGGAGCTGACTGACGTGTGGACTGTGGACATATATTTTTTTCATTTCGGGATTTCTTGAGCCATTTATTACATTATATTGCATACATTATCCACTTGAAGACAAGTCTTGTGACAAGTGAGTGTCATAAAATGATGCCTATTACTTTAACCCATTAATGCCGATCAACTATATATAGACGCGGAGTTCGGTGGTAGTAAAGAAACGTTTCTAAACGTTTGCTCCGATTCAAAACGTTTTCGTGCGTCAAGCGGGAGTGAGACAAGGGTGCCTGCAGCCAGTCTCGCCTGAATCGTGGCAGGGTGAAGAGGTGCGGCAAAGGTGATCGTGCCATCATGGCGTCGGGAAAAGGGTAAGTGTAAAAATATATTACAGTGGATTTCGAAACGATCGATGCTTCATTGATGTGTTACCTGCTTATTTTCTTACCTGCTATCCAAAGATGAAACATTTCCTGAATTTTGTGTTGCAGTTATAGACGTTTTATTGAAAGAGTCTATATATAGTACTTTCGGCACTAACGGTATACAAAAAACGGTGAAGTTTCAGTTAGCAGCCAATAACGTTTTTACGCTTTTTTTTCTCAGACTGAGTATTCAAGAAACGCTTGACAAGCTCGAGGAAGAGGAGAAAGACGTCAGTGCTGTCTTCATTTGTCCTCCCGATGTCAGAGAGGACTCCGATGGGGATTCCGCTGATGACGATGACGGTGGATATCTCGACAACCTAAATCGAAACCAACTACGAGCTACAGCGGAGGTAGTCTTGGCGAACGGCGACACCCTGTCTCAGAAACGTACAGGTACAGAACTGGAAGTCGGTCCTGGGAACAGCGGGTGGTCAGCAGGTGAAAACAGGTCAGGTGCAGATACAACGCAGGCTGATCAAGATCAAGGTGTGCCACGTAAAAAACGAGCCAAGTCTCAGAAGGAATCGCTGGAGTATAAGTGGGTCAAAAGGGACATCAAGGTCGGGCAGCATTTGCGATCAGAAGAAAATCCCCCGAGCAGTGTTGACCTGTCTCAACGTTCTCCTACCGAGATATTTGAGTATTTTTTCAATGACGACCTGCTAGATCACATCGCTTACGAAAGCCGCCGATATGCTGGAAGCAAAGGGGAACGTTTCGCTGTCAGCAGGGACGAACTAAAAACTGCTATCGGAATCATGCTTCTGTCAGGCTATCACACTGTACCCGCGCGGCGCATGTACTGGAAGCGAGAACGTGACATCGGCGTGGAACTGGTCGCGTCTGCTATGAGTCGAGATCGGTTTGACGAAATCCTCAGGTTTCTACACTTCGCAGACAATCAGCGACTGGACAAATCGGACAAGCTTGCTAAGCTACGTCCCATCATGGACCATCTTGAGTGAAGGTTCATGGCTGCATTCCCTGTGGAGCAAGATCTGTCATTCGATGAAAGCATGATCGCCTACTTCGGAAGACACGGGTGCAAGCAGTTCATCCGGGGAAAGCCCATCAGGTTCGGCTTCAAGGCGTGGTGTTTGAACAGCGCAAAGGGCTATCTGATCGCCTTCGATGTGTATCAGGGAGCTACGTACCGTGGTAGTGCCGAGTACGAAGAACGTTTCGGCAAGGGAGGCGCCGCCCTGGCAGATGCGCTTGACAGGCTGCCACTCCACATCCGCAAGATACCATTGAAGCTGTATTTCGACAACTACTTCACTAGCCTTCCTCTCATCAAGCATCTCACCCTGTGCGGATATGGGGCTACTGGAACGATCAGAGACAACCGACTGCCGAAGTCATGTCCAGCAGCTGCAGTGAAGTCGATGAAGGCGCTGGTCAGAGGATCAGTCTCGGTCTGTGGAGACACTAGCAATGGCATTTCAGTTGTGCGATGGAAGGACAATTCTGTTGTAACGGTGGCCTCAAACATGGCGGGCTCTGGACCTCTTCAGACAGTCAAGAGGTGGTCCTCGAAGGAGAAGAAGATGGTGCAGGTGCCTCAGCCGCATTGTGTGTCTGAGTACAACAAGAAGATGGGCGGAACGGACATCATGGACCAAAGCATCAATGCGTATCGCACAAACATCAGGATCAAGAAGTGGTGGTGGGCCATATTTTCATGGATGCTGGATGCAGCAGTGCAGAACACGTGGCTCGTACACCGTACCAAGGATGAACACGCCAGCCTCCTAGACGTCCGCCGGCAGATCTCCACGACACTGCTGACACGGTGTCAGCGAGATGTCAGCGGTGCCGGCACAGAAGGCGCAACAGGGCCGCCAAGGTCAGTACCTACGGGAGCATCACGGTCCACCGTCCCTGACATCCGGTATGACGGCATGCACCACTACGTCATCCCGGCAGAGTCTCAAAGGCGTTGTAAACGCGAGGCCTGCAAGTCACGGCCTTCAACAGCCTGCTGCAAGTGCAACGTCGCGTTGTGCGTGAAGTGCTTCCGCCCATACCACTCAAAGTAAAGCACAGCGAAAGGTCAACTGACTGAACTGTGTCAACTGTGTCAACTCTCAACTGCAGTGTCAACCGTGTGAGACCCCTATGGTGAATCCTGATCTGTTTCGCAGAGGCATCATATCTCAGTACATCAAATCGGTCATGTCTGTGTGAACAATAAACGTTGGATGTAACCCGTCCATTTTTGTGTACTGTAAATGCCGAGAGTAAATATAGACGCTCCATATTTCCGGAACTGAGACAAATAAAAACACAATCAGGCGAAATGTGTGTTAAGTAGGTGTAGTTGACGCCGTTTTAATAGAAGAAAACGTAATTTTTCAAGTAATTCTTCTTCCGGCACTAATGGGTTAATCAAACCTCTGCTGCCGCTTAACACATTAGGTTAATTTTTAACTTCAATGTTGAATGCTAAAATTTTGATCCGTTTTGATCCGGGTTCAACCTTCAATTCCCAAATCCGGCCCGCCCATATCCGTTGTTTTTTAACAAATTTAGAATCCAATCCTATCCGGTCCGCGGATTTATCCGTGGATAACGGATTTATCCGGCCCATGAAGTGCTCTACAACAAACGTCACTGATCTAGCTAAAAACTAGCTAAACAATAGATCAGGATTATCTAAAGAACATCAGTCTACTTTCCACCACTATCTTCGCAAAATTTTGAAATTTGGGGTCCCTCGCCTGAAAAATATGCGAAAACTACGGGAAAAGCAGCGAAAATCACAATTCATCCCAAAAATATAACATATACAACAAAAAATTATATTGAAGCACACTTTGTGGTCTAACGAAGGTATTCTGTCATTTGAACCGCCCAAAAAAGGCGTGTGTGAACGTCAGATGGCTACAACGCCCCAACAGCAGAGACGGCCAGGCAACCGTCGAAAATCAAATTGTGAGACATTTTGAGCTACCGTGCACTCATTCGGGTTGATATGATGGCCCAACGACAGCCGTTAGCACGGAGTACTACTGCGGTAATATTCTACCAGTAAAAAAACTGGATGCCGTAAACCAAATGGCCATGAACGGGTTTGTTTTGGAAACCAAATCTGTTGGAAGCCAAGGGTCCCACCATGTTCAGACATGGAGCTTCTCCACTTCAGATGTAAAAAAGCGTCAAAAGTGGTGTAGGCAGCAATTTTTGTTTTGGGGGATAATGCCTTATGACCTGGGAACACTTTGATGTTAAGTTTATCTTATATGATCGTATTATCCTTCGGCAACAGGTCAAAGAAAACAGGCCTTCACCCAGTTTCGGGAGAACCGTAAAACAACTGAGACCAGCAAAGGCTGGCATTTTTAATCATT